ACCTGTTCTATTGTAGGTATATGTGCACGTTTCTCTTAAATTCTGTGGTCGCGAGTCCCAAAGGGTATTATCCTGTGACCAGAAAGGGACTGTTATGATGATCGCTGCTGAATTATTCAGTGAATATTTTAAGCTGTGAGAATCTGTGTGTGGGGCGATGCGAGTCATATGCTAGTCATAACTTATGCTATTTTACTATTATACTATTAGTTATATCATAATATGTGTATCCTATCAACATATTATTAATATTAATTTCGTAACGTGCACCGTATCTTACATAAACGTTACCCCCCCCCCCTCCCCCAAGAACAAAAAATGATAATTTTTAACCGTCTTGAGCATCAATCTCAGGCAAAACTACAGAAAGACAGCAAAATGTTACGTCACGACGCATTGGAAACAGGCGCTCGTCAATTTGGGGGCAAATGGATTTATTGGTACCAGCTTGAAGCTTTTTCATTTGTCTCTTGCTTTTAATTAAAACAAGACCATCTTTCTAAAATAGATCTTGATAAATTCACGACGGAAGGAGATGGGATCGCCTGGTATGAGATGTAAAATTATATAGTCTTTGATTTCATTATCTTGACGCGCGTCTGTTTTCACCACAATGAAATACATTAACAGGCGCCGTAACTTGCATAGACGTACGAAAAAAGCAGTACATGTAATGAATATCAAGTGTTGTTTCAGACAGAACCGTAGAAACTAAACAGTTTTATCCTCAACAGAGGATGACATTTGAGGTACGGTATGGTATGGTACGGTACGGTATGGTATGGTATGGTATGGTATGGTATGGTATGGTATGGTATGGTATGGTATGGTATCATGGTAAGGTATGGTATGGTGTGGTAACGATTTAAGAGAAGACCAGCATGCTTTTTTCAAAATCCGTTATGCACAGACTTAGCAATCATTTAAGGGCATTGTATATGACTCTGGGGGTCTTGTACGTTATTTAGGTAGTCAGATGGACTCTACTTCGGCGCTCCGGGCAAATTTTTACACTTTTGGGTGTCACGACCCCCTATAAAGAGTTATTTTAGTGCAGGCGTAATTTTCTGATCTATAAAGCTACAGAGTCAATATTTTCACAGAGTGAACTCAGGATAGGTAGTTGCAACGTGTTAGAGGATTTTTTTATATCGTTTAAAATAAGCGAGATATCCCGGATTTTAACACATGACTAGCTAAAACACCGAAATTTTCCTTAAAATCACTCCCTCTGAGGCATATAGAACGTAGTAATATAAAAAATATTCCATAAATCAAAACAAACAAAAAACTCTAACAGGTTGCAACTACTCCAATTGCCCACCCTGGGGCCAAATTTCAAGGAAATCCTATAAACAGCTTCCGAAATCTTGCTGCACTAAAACCCCATACCCCTTAAAATATCGCGTTTTAGAGAAAACGCAAAAAAACGCAACGCAAAAAAAATGCGTTCGCAACTTTTTTACAACCGCAGACAGATCAATGTAGTGTTCGTCTTTTTCTTATCTACCACTGCACTATACCGATCACCCAGTTTGGAATAGAACTATGTAAAATGAAATAAGGATAGAGTTTGGAATGATGAGATAATACCATTTATTTCTAGAGAATAGCACAAGGAAAGGGGAACAAAGTTACCTCAAAGCTTGAAACAGTGCTATCATAATCGTACTTTATTCAGATTAGTAAAGCGATAGGAGAAACACTTCTAAACACTGAAGTGCATTTCTGAACAGGTGGGATTTTCAGGATGAAGTTTGTGTAAGTTGTGAGGTGTATTTTTTTCTTCCTAAAATATAATTATTTCATCTTGAACTTCCATTCAAAAGTGACCGGCTGTGACTGTAGACAAAGGCATCACAAAAACCAAACAAGAAGCCCCACGTCTGTTAGCTGATGTAGATGACTACTAACATACCCGATAATGCCGACAGTTTAAACTTAAAATCATTCAAGTCCGATCACTTGTGCATAATTATTATTGATTAGTAAAGCATTTTGCATTGCAAGCTGAAGACAGGAGTTCGATTCCGTATCCGAAAGATGATTTCATCGAGTATCTCCGCGCTTGCTGTAACTTTTGGGACGAAAGAGCGTCCTAAAGTCTCGACAGCGGTGAAAAAAAGTAGGATGTCCAGCAGGAGTGGGGCTGTCAGACAAGCATGGTCACAATCATATTTTGGTAATAGCTAGCTTTTTGTAAATGGTATGTTTGTATGTTGCATTTTGGACATTTCCTCGTTGTTGACACGGTGAGGAACACATAATTATGTTGTGGAATAAAAACAGTACCTTTTGCTAGTCAATAATAGTGCATTATAACAAGCTGCATTTAGAAAAATAATATAATTACTAGAATGGAGAGGATTGCAGATTGTGAACAAGAAAAAGAGAAACAGTGAACCTCGCATTGAATGCAGAGAATCTGTCGAGTCCAACTTCCAAGATTTTCGGCCCACGCAATATTTCAGACGCCTGTGCCATGCTACCATGGCAAATCCTGGCTTATCTTGGGATAATTTTGATTTCTGGGATCAAAAGCTCTTTCCATTTTATAGACAAATACTTTCGGAAGTTTTGGCCAAAATTTACCACCATTTAACAACTGGTGAACATGTCTACCGTCAGCTATATTTGGTTCCCGAACTTGATCCGTAATATGTTATGGAAAAAGGTAAAATCGTCCAGTAACACATACCGAGATAACACCTAATATCCCCCCCCCCTCTGTCTGTCTGTCTG